CTTATTTGTTACAAAAGTTGCTTTGGAATTCATATGCTCTCTGTTCATAAAAAGGAATCATTTTTTATTATTTAAGCTGCAAGGCATTTTCTCACTTGCAAACATTGTTATGTTTATTAGTGATTCATAGTAATTTCTTAATTACAAGTGAACTCTTACCCTGGTGATGGCAAATATTCTAGACTACTCAAGAGGTGCTGAATTTTATTTGCATGAAGTTGTTTTTTTTTCTGGTTACTTTAACTTCAATTATACTACAAACTATTTCTCTCAAATATAGGACAGAGAAAACAAAGTCAAGTGTTCTCTAATATTATTCTCTATGTTTATTCTTTTGAAGAAAAATAATATAAATTGTATAGAAGTATATAAAACACATATATATATATTTATATATATACATATGTATAGTGTATCTAGTTTTCAAAAAATGATAGCATAAATTACACTTACTAAAGTCTATGACATATTGTATTAAGTTTATTTGCTTAACAAATATTAAATAATAATAGCATTTCTTGGTCCTATTATCTGTTTTTTTCCAGAGATAGAACAGTCTCAAAAGAACAGTGAATTTTTTGCCCTCAGCTATTAAATGCAACTTTAGGAGAGTAAAATAAATGGACAACAGCATTCATGACATTAGCAATAAAAATAAGAAAATACATAGTGCACACACTCAGATTGGATTTATTCTCAAGATAAATTAAAATGTAAAGACAATATTAGACATATAGAGTTGTATGGTATATACATCTGCATCTCTACTCTCTAAACACACTTTTGAACTGTTTGAAATTATAGCTGCCTTTGTGATTATCTGCTGTATCCATAAATTAACCACAGAGATAAGGTGATGCAGAGCATCACCCTGCTCTTACAAGTATTTATCATCTAGACATGTGACTGCCAAACTTTCCTTGTGACATTCTGATGATAAATATTTTATTCCTTTTGTCTATATGGTTTCGGTAACAGCTAAGCAATTTTATTATTGTAGCATAATCATCCATACATGTACAAGATGATTTTGTTTGGTTTCTAGCCATAAAAAAGGGACACGGAGCCTACAATTGGTGATCCTAAAGAAGCTAAGTAAGAAGGTGAACCAAAGGAAAAACATATAGTTATCCTCTTGGCTATGGGAAGTAGACAAAGTTGCCAGGGAGAAAATTGAGATCATGGGGGTGGGGTGGGATGGGGGTAAGGGGGGATGGGGAGAGAAACGGAAGAAGGGGAGGAAGAGGGGAACTTGAGGAAAAAGGAGGATTGGGATAAAGGAAGGTTGGATAGGGGAGCACGGAACCACAATTCTTAGTTAAGGGAGCCACCTTAGGGTTGGCAAGAGACCTGACCCTAGAGGGGCTCCCAGGTGCCCAAGCCGAGGTCCCCAGTTAATTCCTTGGGCAGCCGGGGATAGGGAACCTGAAATGACCCTATCCTATAGCAATATTGACGAATATCTTGCATATCATCATAGAACCTTCATCTGGTGAGGGATGGAGATAGAGACAGAGATCCACACTGGAGCACTGGACTTAGCTCCCAAGGTCCTAATGAGGAGCAGAAGGAGGGAGAACATGAGCAAAGAAGTCGGGACCACGAGGGGTACACCCACCCACTGAGACAGTGGAGCTGATCTATTGGGAGCTCACCAAGGCCAGCTGGACTGTGACTGAAAAAGCATGGGATAAAACTGGACTCTCTGAACATGGCGAACAATGAGAGCTGATGAGACGCCAAGGACAATGGCAAGAGGTTTTGATCATACGTAATGTGCTGGCTTTGCGGGAGCCTAGCCAGTTTGGAAATTCACCTTCCTAGATATGGACGGAGGGGGGAGGACCTAGGACTTACCACAGGGCAGGGAACCCTGACTGCTCTTTGGACTGGAGACGGGGGGTGGGGGGGGTGGGGGGGGTGGGGTGGGGGGGGGGTGGGAGGGGGAGAAGGGTGGGAGGAGGGGGAAAAGGGTGGGAGGAGGGGGAGGGAAATGGGAGGCTGGGAGGAGGTGGAAACTTGTTTTTTTTTCTTCCTTTTCTCAATAAAAAAAAGATTTAAAAAAAAATTTAAAAAAACCAAACAAACAAACAAAAAAAAGATTTCTGTCTCTTTTCCACCACTGCCTCCCATTTCCCTCCCCCTCCCCCAATCAAGTCCCCCTCCCTCCTCAGCCTAAGGAGCAATCAGGGTTCCCTGCCCTGTGGGAAGTCCAAGGACCACCCATCTCCATCCAGGTGTAGTAAGGTGAGCATCCAAACTGCCTGGGCTCCCACAAAGCCAGTAAGTGCAGTAGGATCAAAAACCCATTGCCATTGTTCTTGAGTTCTCAGTAGTCCTCATTGTCCACCATGTTCAGCGAGTCCGGTTTTATCCCAGTCTTTTTCAGACCCAGGCCAGCTCGCCTTGGTGAGTTCCCGATAAAACAAGTTGAGCAAACTCAATTCAGTGAAGAACTATTGTGAGAAAAGTTTGGAGAATAACTTCCAGAATAACATTCTACAAAGGAAATCTTATATTTTCCACCGTTAAAAATTAATTTTTTCTACTTTTCCTACATGTTTACTTATGCATTTGTATGCTGTAAATGCTTCTGCCACATAAAGGTAAGAAAATGTAATATTCTAATGTCTCCTCAGTTATGCAAATCTTTTGTCTTTTAATATTCCATTAATTTCAAACATCATCAATCATTTAATTCTTTGAATTTTGATGATATTATATTTTACAAGATTGTTACCAATGTGGTTCATTGTTTAATTTATATGTTTTTAAATGGAGAGAAGTTGAACACAGTAACAGTGCTAAGCATCTTCCATTACAAGTTTTTCCTGCTGATTCAATAGATTGTACTATCATTGCAATAATATGACCAGAAATACTCTTACCATTAGATTGATATGTGAATATTTACACAGTTTTTGTTTCTTGCATATATAAAAAGGAAACAGAAGCACTTTGAACACCACCCTAATTAGTTTTATTTTTAATTCATGTTGAAGAGATTATGCTTAAATTTGCATATGATCTAAGATTTTTTTTCTCTCTCCATTCACAATGTTTTCTCTGTTCCATTGTTGTTAGATTGCAGAAATTCTAGTTTTTGCATGGCAAGGTTAAAAAAAAAACAAACAAAAGTAACTAAAATGTAGTACATTTGTAGAAGGAAATACGAGGCAGCTTCTTAGCATATGCCACTTTTGTTGACGTGGTAATTTTTTTTGTTTTAATGACAATTAACTTATTGATGGATTGAAGAATACAATTTTAATGGGACAATAAGGCACAACTGTGGATTAAAACAGTTTGCTACATGGCCAAGGGGGGCATAATCTTAGAAACTTTAAATATGTAAATCAAGAAGCCTCTGAAGTACTTCTCAGATCAGTATCAGACAATTCTTTCTTTTGATACAATTCTTATATTACATCATTTGATCACAAAGTCAGACAGATATTTCATAAAGAATTCCCCAATTCATGTATACCCCAGCCATCCACCCTAGCCACTCCCCTGCATAGCCTTTACCCATTCCTTTTGCAGTGTTTTTGCTTGAGTTAATAGCAATCTTTTTCCTAAAGAATTGTTTATACATCTTGGATAGCCTTCCAAAGCAAAGAAGCAAGCAAGCGAGCAACATCAGAGAAAGCCAGCCAAGAGCAGATTTACAGACACAGGACAGAAGCAGCCTGATGCAGTGAGGTCTAAACCAAGCTGACACTGGCCCAAAAGTTGAGCTGGGTCACTCAACAACCTCTAGTATCACTTCAGTTGGTGTCACCGGGGCCAGGCCTTATGCTCTGAGGGTTCTGCAGTGGTCTACACAAGGAGCTAGACGGTCATGTGATGAGGACGTTCATGAGACAATACATTCACTGCTTTATGAACTGACTACACAGCTGCCAGCATTAAAATTTGCCAAGTATAAAATTTATTCGGAATTTTGTGCAAAACATTAAGACACTGAGGACAATCTAATTCTTCTAAGTCTTTAGGACTGAGATGAGTCAGGCACTTCCACAACACTTGTCTTTCTGTTTGGAAATATGAAGAGTCTTCCAGTGTACAGAACACTGAGGCAAAGCCCATGCTGCAGGGCGAACATGGACAGCTCTCCAGGGTGCCTAGCCTCTTTCGAAAACTACAAGAAGGCCCCCTACTGTACTGTCATAATGGCCACTCTATTGGTGACAATGTCCCAAAGAGAAGCAAACTGGCAGGCATAAGACTAATTCTGAATGTCAACACTGTACTCAGAAAAGAGGCCATATAAATATGTTGAAAATAAAAAGCCAGAGGTAGAGACACCTGGGGAAACCACCTAGGAGATATGGCTCTACAAGCCTCACCGTGACGCCACCTTTCAGGAACAGCCCTGTGATGAGAGCAGCGCAGGGGACTGAGTCACATGCTTTCCAGGAGTTGTACTGGTTGCTGAAAAGCTCCTGGACAGCAGTGCCCCAAAGACACATCCAGGAGAAGGTAGCTATAAACCACCAGACCACTCACTATCCTGCCAATCAGAGACAGACTTGACAGCAGAGCCTGGACTCTAGCAGAACACAGGGAATCCTGATGAAAAGGAGGGAGGCTCAAAGACCAAATGGAGAGAAGGCTGGGTGACAGGGAAGTAGGAAGTAAAGGACACAAAAAGGAAACAGGAACATGACGGAGGCTCGATGAAGGGAAGACAGCATGGATATGGTCTCTATCTAGTGGGAGCTTTGCTGGCTGGTTCTTGCTATGAGTCTTATTTCATTTTCTCCGACAGGGTGGATGCATGGCATTCAGCAGCAAAACAAGGGAAGATGAAAAACAGAGACCTGGTGGGTGCATAATGGACAGAAATAGACCAAGAGTACCATTCTGAACGCCCTGTTTATACACCAAAGGCAAGTCTGTGTGGACAGGAGAGACTTTGGGTTGTCATGCAAGAGCAGTAGTTTTATGGGAAAAGGGAATAACAAGATGGGGGTGGGGCAGACAGACAGAAGGAAGTTCCAGTTCTTAAATACTAGAAAGCAAGAATAATTTGGTCCCTGTCCTTTAGTGAAGAAACCCGATGCTCTTTTTCTGTTCTCCATCCACCTTCTCCAAAACCTTAACAAATTCTGTAAAGGATATGGCACTGTCCCCATCCTGATCAGCCTCCTGGATGGTCCTGTCCGCAATGCTGCCCAGCTGCTTGTCTGAGATATTCACTCCAACCATCATTCGTAGCACCTGTAACAGCTCATCACGGGAGATCTTGTCATCTTTAACCAAATCATACAGTCTGAAAGTAAAGTGCAATTTGTTGCTTCGGCTGTTGAGTGGTTCAGGTCCATTCACATCTTTGCTCTTTTCATTATCCTCAATGGGTCGGAAATGAGCCAAAGTTCTCATGAATCCTAGGAAGTTTACCTGGTCCTCTCCCTTGGAAAAGAAAGCATTGATGTTCCGGTCCCCCAGTGGGTTAATGGCAAGTTCTGGAATCCTCTGGAAATCTTCCCGGCTGAGAGTCCTATTCTCTCCTTTGTCCAGGCTGGTGAACCAGCTGTACAGGCACGTGATCTTACTGTGGGAAAAGCTAGTCTCTTTCTTCATCTCCTTGAGCTCTTTGTCCCGAAGTAACGTGGAGGCCCGATTCCCCGTCACCATTGGTGGCGGGTGCTCCTCCGGGAGCGGCTGCGAAGGGAGAGGCACTGTTTCTTCTGCCTGATGTGGTACTTTTAAAGTTTATCTGTTCATTAATTTTTGCAGTCAAATACTGGCTTCACAATGATTTTTCCTTGCAAATAATTGCCTCATTTGATTTTAATAGATCACAAATCAAAAATTTTATCCCTCTATATATACTTTCTTAGAAAAAACTAGATATTTGTGAGCAATTTATATGCACAATTAACTGACAAATTGATATTAAGTACTATATTGTTTAAATTTATCATAGAACTATTAAAGGTATAGATCCTTATCTCAATTTTAAAAGTTAAGGAAAAAAGGAAGAGGGCATTTGTTGTTGTTGTTGTTCTAAAATGGTTATTCAGGGCTTAATACTGCAGAAGACAGTAGACACTTGAGTACACCGAAAAAGGTTGTTATTTAGAACAGAGGAACCAAAAAGTATTTTGTTAATGATTCCATTTTATAAGTCATGCCATGAGCTTATTTATATGTCATTCACTGCCCCTCATAGCACTGACTATATAATGAGGTAATTAAAACAATACAATATAAAAATGTCTTTTTAAAAGAAATTTGGGTCATAAGCTTAAATGTGTATTTATCAAAGTGTCAAACTTTATAATGATGTCAGAATAAATTATATACCATAAATCTTTCATGAAGGATGGTAGAGACCTCCTGTCAAATTTGCATGTATTTTTGGAATGGGTATACTTATTTCAGCTATAAAAGCAGAAATTTAGGGCACAATTATGGCTTCAAAGAGGATTCAGATGGATGTCTGTCATTAAACTTGCTGTGTATAACTATGGGTTTTAAAAATAATTCATATCATACCATATTATTAACGAAAGGATGTTGGGATTATGTAATAGTTACGTAAGTATACACACAAATCAGAAATTTGGCTTATTTAGAGCTGATATTTACTTTATTATCTAATAGAATGTATTTTCTCTGTGCACTTTATTTTTCTGGCGATTAAGACAGACAAAATTGGGTAGAACGAGAATATTTTATGTAAAAAAAGTCCAACTTTAGTTTTGTTGATTTCTAATTTCTTCATTTTTCAATAGAAAATATATATTTTACTAATACAGAAAAATTTATTTTCTTTGGAACTAGATCTAAATACTCTTACATGTCACAAAGATTCATACCAAATAATACTAAAATAACAAATGGCTGGCAAAGGTTTTCTAAAAATGAGATGAGCTTTTCCTAAAGCTCGTGGTATCAACACATGTAGCAAGAACTAGCTGACCTTTATCCTGGAGACTGTGAGGGAAGTCTGTCTCATGGCTGATGGGAGTTAGTACTTGCCAGCAGTCTTATTGTCCTATGACTTTTAGAATCATCGGTGCAATATATGCCTCCAACGTTACAGGATTATCTCCATTCTTCCCTGCCTGAAGCTACAGAAAATCTGTGGTCACCAACACAAACAACTGCTTTCTTTTCAAGCCTACATACAATATAATTCATATTTCATGATAATGTAAGTTGATTTTTAAGATACAAATTAACAAATGTATTTATGATATGAGACCCCATATTTTCAAAATAATTATTTCATTAGTAATGAAGACTTCAATTAAATTGACAAAATTTGATTTCCTAGCTTATAATGTGGACATTCTTTTGCATACAATCCATTTTCCTCTCAAGAACAGATTGTATGTCTTTTACGTACAGGTCTCAAATAAGTTATTTATCAATTAGAACTGTGACTTTGTTGAGCACACATATCTATTGCTGCATAGCAAAACTTTTAAATTAAGTTTTTTTTGAACTCCTGATTTGTGTGTGTGTGTGTGTGTGTGTGTGTGTGTGTGTGTGTGTGTGAGAAAGCCCAGAGAGGAATAGTAATGGAGATTTTTAGACCAGAATTTAGTGTTTGTCTCATGGTTATAAAAATATGATTCTGTGACAAAGACACTTGAAGTACTATTGAGAACCTAGGACATCTGAAGTTACCCAAAAAATATAACTGAAGATTCCTTTGAAATAAAATTTGTAATAAGGGCAACTCATGTACAATGAAGCTTATGTTCTTTCATCAAAATGTATTTTCTGTACTCTAGAGGGTTTTAATCTCGTCTACAAAGATTCCATAGCGGTTTCCTAGTGCTGATGGCTAGAAATATAATTGGCAAAATGTCTACAGTGCATGCTGCCATCTGGTAGTAGTCCCCTGATTATCACACTAAATCCCCATTCAGACAAAATACTGAGTTTGTCCTTGCTCTGCAGTAGGGAAAATGTCTAGCTACCTGCTGAGATAACTGCACACCTGGGGATATTGGTAGATTTCAACTTGTGCACTCTAATGTGCTAGTTGTATCTGTACAAAGAGGTGGGAAAACAGCAGTTTAGAGGAATGCAGAATCTTTCACAGTGATGATGCTCTTTCATTAGTAGAATAGCAACTTCCTTGTCCTGGAATATAATGGAAAGTGTGAGACTGGAGGATGAAAACAGCATTTTTTTTCACATACACTTTCATTATTCATCAGGTTTACTTAAGGAACAGAAATCTTGTTCACTCTTCTGTAACCATGTTGACTCTGCTCGATGCCGTAGCAAACTGAGATTTCCTAATAACTTAGTATTTCTTTTGCTATAATATACATTTTTACTCTGTCTTCTAAAAATATCTGTCTGTACACAAGCATCCTTACCATGTCCCTCTTCTTTCCTCAACCATATCAAATTAAATTAAGACTCACCCATAGAATTTCTTCGGCACCTTTACTTCTGTGAAAGCCTTATTGTTTATATGTAGATTTATTGGGAATGAGACTTGACCAAATATATACAAGAAGGAAGAACATAAAACTTGCCCTTGGCTGTCAATGTAGCACCATCAGTTTATTTGGAATAAAGCACATTAAGAAATTTTTTTGAAAGCATTCCTCCTCAAAACTTTTTTTCTAATTTATCTTTGGTTCTAATAAATAGGATTACACAGTTCTATATTTTTCAATACTTTCAAGACAAAGTTAATGAGAAGTGCATCTTTCATGTAGTAAAGAAGTGTATTAGGTTATAAGATTAAATATTTAATAGTTTGTATAATATATATGTACATATTGATAACATTAGAAGGCACAGATATGTGATATAAAACACTTACTTTATTTTATTTATTTATTTTTTTTATTGAGTAAAGGAAAAAAAATTTTCAGCCTCCTCCCAGCCTCCCATTTCCCTCCCCCTCCTCCCACCCTTCTTCCCCTTACCCCACTCCTCTCCCCCTCCCCCTCCCTCTCCAGTCCAAAGAGCAGTCAGGGTTCCCTGCACTGTGGAAAGTCCAAGGTCCTCCCCGCTCTGTCCATGTCTAGGAAGGTGAACATCCAAACTGGCTAGGCTCCCACAAAGCCAGCACATGAAGTAGGATCAAAACCCCCGGCCATTGTCCTTGGTTTCTCATCAGCCCTGATTGCTCGCCATGTTCAGAGAGTCCGGTTTTATCCCATGCTTTTTCAGTCATAGTCCAGCTGGCCTTGGTGAGCTCCCAATAGATCAGCCCCACTGTCTCAATGGGTGGGTGCACCCCTCGTGGTCCTGACTTCCTTGCTCATGTTCTCCCTCCTTCTGCTCCTCATTGGGACCTTGGGAGCTCAGTCCAGTGATCCAGTGTGGGTCTAAAACACTTATTTTATACACCTTTTATTTGGCAGCATTTCTACCCTTAACTCAGACATAATAATCAACACACACACACACATGCATGAACAAAATGCTTGAATGAAGGAATGCGGTGATGTCTTTCCATTCTTTTTTCAAATGGAAAAATTCATGCAAGGAATCCTGTCTTCAGAAAGTATTGTATTTGGTGCTTCACTTTCCAGTAACCCATTATATTCTGAAAGCTGAGTCAATATGTAGATTTTACCTATTCTATAGTGGTTGTAATATTTTCAATGTAGTCATTTAAAAGAGGTCTTGAGTGTTTATCTTAATAACAAATTTTTAAAAAAAAAAACATGTGGCCGTATATATTAATGAAAAAGAGGTGATAAAACTTATTTTAAATGTGAAAGGAATGATATGAAGAAGAAGAGCAATAAAGTCAACCAGGCAAACTCAGTTGCATTAATATTCCATTACCTGCATTCATTCATTCAAAGCATCAGAGGGGTCAAAAAAAATACACTCATTTGACGGTGAGAGCCTTTGTTTGGGCTTACAATGAAACATTTGACCCCATTAACTATATACCTAAATATATTCATGAAAAATTTCTAGAGATTTCTTTTAGTGGAAATAATTTATAGAAAATTACATGCCTTACTTTAGAATTCCATTGATTAGAAAATATATCTAATATGGCCCAATGTATATCCCATTAAATTTTTTGTCTAAGGATCCTAACCTTTTCCTCCTCTTTGGCACCAGAAATTCATGTAAAGGTAATTCCCCCATGAAGATATTTATTTTGATATAAAAAGCATTATTCTCAAACCTTGTACACCTATTTATGCTTTTCTCCATTTTACTCAAATATTATTAGCTACCTCAATTTTGATTAATTTGAGTAACGATTATGATATTGCTTACTTTATTTTTGTGCTTTTATTAAAGTGCTCTATCTGTACATTACAACTACAGTTTTCAAAATAGACATGGCTGGGGCATAATTCTGATTAATCTTGTACTTACTATGAGACAAAAATAATCATATGCTGATGTGCAATAAAATATTTTGCACTTATAGCTATTCCAACATAGTCATAAGGCTAATAAATTTATTCAAGTATTATCAAATATTGTTTTCATTTATAGATTTTGCAACTCCTTCATTATAACCAATAACCTAAAATTTGCTAATTATTTTTATCATTAATAAATGCATTAAAATAAAATTCTTTAGTATCTCCTACTTCAAAGTACAAAACTGAAGTAAATTTATGATTCAAGTCATAAATAAGGATGTAGTCTGGGCATTAATACACAAAGACTATGTTCTT